CTGTATATTCTGTATTCTTCTTTCGGATTTTCTAGGAGGAAACTTCTGATGCCTTCACAGAATGGCTTCAATCAAACAAGCGGGATCCTTATGAAATTGATCATTTCTGATGATTGGTTGGGATAGATTTTAATAAGCAAAACTAGTGGAAGGAGGGATACATATAAAAAATATGGATTGCACTTTTTAAAGATTTTTCTTTGTAAAGAAATTTAGAAAATCACCTTTGTTCTCATCTTGTAAAAAAAAAAAAAACTTGTCATAAAATACATTGAAATTTGAGGTTTTTATTTAAAAATATGGGAAAACCTCAGAGGGTGGCATAGCATTGTCCATTATTTTCTTTTTTTCTACAACCATTTTAGTCCAACTCTGTGTAATCCGTCCTCTTTATTTTACAAATATAAAACTAATATTCCAGCAGAAAAGGAAGGTATCCCTAACCTGGGTTCCTATAAGCTACGAGCTGTGATTTCTCATTCTACCAAATCACTGTAAGATCCATATCTACCTAATCTGGGGAAGCATCAGATTTTTCTCACACATATCTGAAAAATAGCAGAAATCCATGGCTCCCGTCTCCTCATGAGGTGGGTGTTGGCTGTGTCCCTGGCAGCGCTTTGACCAAAAGCCTGAGAGGAAGCGAAGGAAAAATCAACAGCTGCTCGTCTGTTTGTTTTGCCTAACAGCTACAACACCTGCAAGCCCTCCGGCCAAGTGCCTCAGCCTGTGTTTAGCATTGGACTTATCCATCCTATTGTATATTTACAATTTGCCTTTGCCTTGTGTCCATGTTCTGTGAAAGCCCAGTTTTGATATTTGGCTCTTTTGTAGATTACACTGCACATTGTGATCAAGGTTGGCATTTTTGTGTGCCTGATTCACCATTAAATTGCATCCAGCAGAGATCTGCAAATGCACTGAATACAGAGTCAGTATTTGTCACAAACATTTTGGGCGTTTTCCCCGGTTCTTTCCCTCTTTGATTACTCAAGCTGACACCATATGGGCGGATGTAGAATTATTTCTCTTCTTTATAATTTTGAATAATTAAATCCAGATTGTGGATTAAAGGTTTAAATGCAGCTCTTTGAATGGAGAAAACTCCAGAAATGTGTGCGCACACACAAGCACCCTGCTATCCCTCCCCATCTACCACAAATCAATCATGCCTTTAAAAAAATATCCATATTCGTAAACTTTATGGCAATCTGTGTCAAATCACCCCTGTGCATTTTTTCAGAGTTTTATGCAATGGACAAAAACAGAGATATGCAGAACTGTAATGGCATGATGGTGCCACCACCGTGTTTTGGGAGCATTTTTATTTAATCATAAAATTCTTCAACCTTATAAGCAAAACCACAATCCTACTAAACAAATGAGGTTGGTGGCCAGAATTTACCAATTAACAGCTATTTTCAGTAAAGAAATCAAATAAAAAGGAATTTTATTTACTTGAAACAACTATTACAAGTGGATTATCAAATAACAACACAATTTGAGAGTCAACAACAATAGCTCAAAGTTATTAAACCACTTCACTTCTGTCTTTTGCTTTGATGACCTGTATTAAACAAGACGTATAACCAGTCACTAGCTTCCTGTAGCATTCTTTTCCTCTTTCACTTGTGAGTCTCTGTGCTGGAACAACCTTCTTCAAACTGCACTGGAGATGTTCAATAGTATATAAATCTGATGATTATGCCATAATTTCCCCTTATACATGATTGGAATCCCTATTACTTCCCAAAATGTGGCAAGTTTCCAGACCAGAGGAACCAAGGCAGACCCAAAGCATCACTGAGCCACTACTATGCTTCACTGTAGACATATTTTCTCATAATCAAGCTTTAATCTTTTTCCCTGAGACAAACTGCAAATAGGGTAACTTCTGTAGGCAGTTGTTTGTTCTGGATATTGTTTAGTAAAATCAAAGTGAAACACGTTCCTCACTTTCTAAGATTTCTATGTGAAAAGACAATAAAAAAAAAACATATCTTGGTTTCCCCTCGTATTTCACAAATGTGAGGTACTTTGCTTTGCTCTATTATTTGAAATCTCAAAAATAATTTGAAGTGTGTGACTGAGTGTTCCAGTAAGGGTTTTATACATTTGCAAGGCACAGTAAGTGACTTGGTATTTTTTTCCTACATTTCAAAGACAGTTTCCTTTTCATGTATGATACCGTGCTGTCCTCAAAGCTCCATCTCCTCTCAACACCACTGCTTCCTTTGTTTGGTTTTCCTCTTCGTGAAATTGGATACAGTTCCTTCTCGTTTGTCCTGCGTCTTTTTGCCAAAGATCTCTGAAACAGAGTGGAGAGGGTCCCATGGGAGCTGAGCCCAGTCACAAGCAGCTGTGCTCTGCCCTCTGCACCACCGGGAAAGGCTGTGAAATGATAATAACTCCTTTGTTATCTGCTGTTACAGGATGGACACTGAAGCTTTGCTATAAACATCTTTTCAGATTTTTTTTCCAACATTTATATTGAAAAATGGTCAAACCTGGAAAAAAGAAGTATGAAAAGATTCCAAATTATATATGCAACAAGAGAATTTCTCCATTGTGAGATCAATAAAGTTCTATTTGATCTAATCTATTGATGCTTGTATTGTTCTTGCAATGTATTACAATACACAATATTTCAGCTTAAACACTGAATTTTTATTCCATTATTTCAACTTTTTAACTAAGTTCTCTTCCTGTTGTTTTTTTTTTTTTTTTTTTTTCATGGTAAATTAATCTGACCTGCATTCTGCTCGGCATGGTCCTGGAGGGATCTGCTGCAGCCAACAACTTTATGGTTTCCCTTCAAAGCTGATCCACTTAGGTTACAGTCTCCACAGGTTACTGTCTATTTCCTAGACTAGAAATAACTTTCACTGAACTATTACTGTGACTAACTGTATGTAATATCATCTGCAAGACTTAAATATAAGCTCAGAGCCAATCTGTTTAGCTGTGTTCCTTTTCTAGATTGAGGCACTTCAGAAGCTAAACGTTTTAATAACGTTATACTTTTCTCTCCCATAGAATCCTAAATGAGGTCTTGTGTGTGTGTGTGTGTGTGTGTGTGTGTGTGTGTGTGTGTGTGTGTGTGTGTGTGTGTGTGTGTGTGTGTGTGTATTATCTATCCATCCATCTATCCATCCATCCATTTTCTGACACGCTTTATCCCAAGTGGGATCGCAACGGGTGCTGGTGCCTCTCTCCAGCTGTCTACTGGCGAGAGGCAGGGTTCACCCTGGACAGGTCGCCAGTCCATCGCAGGGCAACACAGAAACAAACAGGACAAAGAACCATTCACACACAGTCATGTTTTTGGACTGTGGGAGAAAGCCAGAGTACCCGGAAAGAACCCACGCATGCTTAGGGAGAACATGCAAACTCCATGCAGAAAGATCACGGGCTGCGAATCGAACCTTCTTGCTTCAAGGCACTGCAGCACTGAGCAGCCGTGTATTACCTAGCTCTCTGTTACTTGTGGCAGAAGAACATTTACATTGAGCCCAGTTCTACTGGACGATTCTTCCTATCATATGGGAGTTTTCTTTTCCCCTATCACTGCATGCAAACTCGATAAAAGGGATGCAAAAATTACGAACACAAGAAAGAATGAATTCTGCATGTCAATAACTTGATGCAATCTGCTCAATATCTGTAGATAGAGAACAGCTTAACCTTTTTGATTAATAACATTAAATTGCTATTAATCAATTTAATGTTATTATTATATAAATGTTTGAGGTTTTATGCAGTATAAAACACTATGTATGTTTTTATTTTATTTTATTGTTGTTTTTTTTGGAACACCACAAAAGAAAATGTTATTGTAGTTGTGAAGTTTAAGGCAAATTTCACAAAAAAATTTCCCCCCAGATAAAGGTTTCATTTACATTTTATATCATGCAAAAAATGTGCTAACAACTACTAACATGACTGAAAATATGCTCAATAGTACGGAAGAGGAATAGGACCACTGAAAAAAATTAAAAAAGGTGAATAATTATAAAATTTTATTTCTGTATAATATAAGAAAAAAGTCAGAATTCTGACTCTTTTTCTCAGAATTCTGAGTTAAATCTCAGAATTCTGACTTTTTCTCAGAATTCTGACAGCTAAAAAACATGTTAGCATCAAGCTGTAGCCATGTCTATTTTAGAGACTAAACTAGCTCTCTTGTTTTAATGACCTTCTGCTCTTCCATTAATTAAATAGCATCACCTGGGACCCCTCAGGCATGTAAAAGGTTGTTTGAGAGTTACCCTCTCAAACAACTCACATCTTTTTCAGTGAAGCTGAGTGCTCCCACATCTTTCTTCATGGTGCCCATCTACATTAAGATCCAGCATTCTGAGATTAAAGTCGGAGTTCTGAGATTAAACTCAGAATTCTGAGATTAAATTCCGAATTCGGAGGGGAAAAAAAGTCAGAATTCTGAATTTTTTCTCATATTAAACTGAAATAGTATTTTAAAATCAGTTAATTTTTTTTTTTAGTTGCCCTAATCCTCTTCTACGGAGCCCCCTAGGGGACATGGGGAATTTTTTTTCTTTTGCGTTCCCTCGCAATACTTTTGCGTTCCCTCGCAATACTTTTGCGTTCCCTCGCAATACTTTTGCGTTACCTCGCAATACTTTTGCGTTCCCTCGCAAAAACTTTTGCGTTCCCTCGCAAAACCTTTTGCGTTACCTCGCAATAGGGCTTGGTCGTCGTGACCATGTTGACGGCGCACTTTACGGCTTCCTTAGACTATTGCCTGTGTTCTCCCTCTCAGCCGTGTTTTATTTCGTTTAATTTCACCGTAACTTGATTTCAACCATGGTAAACCGTTGCTGTATTGTGGGCTGTAACAGCGCATCACATGATCGCCGAGGGAAAAACCTACAAAATGGGATAACTTTCCACCGCTGTTCTGCCTGGAGGCGCAAACACGGAGACCAAGTTTCACAGATAACAAAGAGTCGTCGGCTAGCTTGGATCGCGGCTGTAAGACGACAGAACAGAACTTTCCACAGTATCCTGATGTCAATGCGAGTGTGTTCCCTGCATTTTCATTCTGGTAAGTTAAAGATGCACGGTTTTATTTTATAGCCTACAGTGTTTCCTTCCTTCATCCGTGGCACCACATACAAGCATGAACGCGCGCCCAGAGACTGTTGATATAGCATTTTCATCCTCGTTGGTTGATATAGCATTTTATCCTCTTTGGTAGAACACACTGCCAGTTCCTACAAGGACAGGGACATCCCTCTCCATTTTCAAAAAAAAACCCTGAGGTTGACAGCTGTCATAGCACCACTTATAAATTTTGCTGATCCTAGCGCTTACCAGCCGTCTTGTAATGTAATGTAATCATATAATACAATTTAATAATGTGTATATTGAGGATCATTGATAACATTATGGTTCTATATGTGTTCAACACTGCTGCTGTGGATAATAATTTTAAATTGTGTCACCAGGAAAACCAGCAAATGAAATGTACACCTCGCATCCGGATTGGGCACCATCACTACACTTGGGCCACACTGAGATAAAGGCCACACAGACTGCACGCTATGAGAGACAGGAAAAGAGAAAACGGCAAAGGACTGACAGTACACCTGCGAGGATGAGACAGCTATTGATGACCTTGTTCCACCCGGTAAGCCTTACAGAGCCAGCAGATTCAACACCGTATGTTGCTTTTGTGGCTTTTTCAGCTGCATGATGCACATTTAGCTAAAAGATGTCCTTATTTTATCCATAGTGGAGACACCAGCACCAGCTGAGGATGGAGCTGAGCAGACACCGCTGACAGAATGTGACTTCTGTCAGCGCCGGCGTGCTGAAATCAACCGGCTGCTGGAGGAGAACAGGACCCTGAAACGTGAGCTTGGCCAGAGACTTCAAGCTTAACACTAGCTTTGTGACCATTCATTCAGTGAAAGGAATCTCAAATCTTCATCAAAACATTATTCAAAATATTAAAAAAAAATTTAAGAATAATTTGCTGAAATAGAAATCAGCATTTGTTTGATACTTAGTGTTAGAAAAAAAATGTGTCCTAACAGGTTTTCTGAACCATCTTCTAATCTAGTCTCCCCCAGCTGCTGGTAGAAACAAGATTTTTTTACCATCATTCAGAAACTGGATAGGTGTTACATCTGTATTTTGTTGAAAATCATTTATTGAACATTGTTATTAATAAAATTTTAAGGAATAGATTAAATAGTCAAAGATCCGCAAAATATAAAAAAATAAACAATAGTGCAGTGCTGTGGCCATTCAAGTTAACTCCTAGTTTGAATCAGTCTTTCAAAGTGAACTATTTAGAAAAATGAGTGCAGTATTGACTGCGGGTTATTAAATCTGACCTCATAAAACACTGTAACGGGTAACTTTGAGCTTAAATCATTCAGTCAGAGGTATTATGCAGGTTTAAATGTCCTGTGCTCATTTCATTTCTTTTTCTTTTAAGTGATATAACAATATAACAGCGTGGTTGTTATACTTTACTGTTGTATAACTGTGATTTATATGATATGTATACACATGCATGAGGGGTTGAGGTTAACGTTTGCTTTCCAGCATAGAATGAAATATAATGGTGTCCTTACCTGCATAATTTATGTCTATTTTTTTTCTCCTCAGGTCTTGCACTCTCAGCGCATTAATGAGACTCCCCTGAAGCCATGGGTCATCATTGCTGACGATGGGCAGGTTTGCTGTGCACACTGTACATGCATGGCTGGAATTGCAGAGGCATGTACACATGTTGGGGCTCTGCTGTTTAAGATTGAGGCAGCAGTCCGCATCCGTGGGAAAAAGACTGTGACAGATGTGCCAGCTTATTGGAAAATACCAGCAGGTATCAACAAAGTCAGCAGTGAAGTCGCCCACAAGATGGACTTCACTTCATCCAAAGTGCAGAGGATTGCTCTGGACAGAGTCATCGATGACAACATTCCCATGCCTGGCCTACGGACACGGGCCAGCAGACGCACTGCCCAAGCCACATTGGACGACTTATCGTCAATGTTCCCTGTTCTTCAGAACCATAGGTCAGTTTGTATGTCCACAGTGAAGCCCTACTTTCACAACTATGCTGCTCCTGTCCAGCCAGCTGTGATCCCAAAACCCCTGCAAGACCGTCTGCGCGACCCAAAGTTTGAAAATGCTCCACCAGCTGTCCTTCTCCAGCACTGTGAGACAGTGAAAGACATTGCAGCTGCATATTATTGCACGTCGTTATATTACAATACAATTATAGATTATATTATTGTATATCATGACATATTGCATCGCAGCCTTTATTTATACAATTTAAGAAATGCATATTGTTAAAAGTAATTATATAAGACATTGCACTAACATTGTTTTTTAATGTGTACTATAGTACCGGTAATAATTTGCACTACTTCAAATGTTATTGATATCTGTTATTACTTAATTTGATCTACCTCCAATTTTTATGTTTGTAATTGATGTTTCATGAATACGTATTTTTTATTACTTTGGAATTTTTTTTATACATAGACATTTTTTATAAAAAGCATAGTATTTTGTATTATTACATTGTATTGTTATATTTGCATATTATTGCACGTTGTTATATTATACAATTATAGATTATATTATTGTATATCATGACATATTGCATCGCAGCCTTTATTTATACAATTTAAGTAATGCATATTATTATAAATACTTATATAAGAATTTGCACTAACAGTGTTTAACTGTTAATGTTCACTATAACTACAATTTGTATAATAATAATTTGCAATATCTCCACTTTCCATTTCTCCATTGATGTTTCATTAAGACCGACTTATTAATAGGATTGAACATTTTGTATAAATACATACTATGTTATTGTAAGTAATTGCACTGCATTTTCATCGCGTCCATTTTTTATTTGTAACCATTTACCTACAAGCATTCAAACTGCACTGCTCTGTTCTGCGCTGCACTGTGTTCTCAAGTTTCACTACTTGCAAATAAACACTGAAAAGGATCTGATCGTTTGAGACCTCTTGCTTTTGGGTATGGATGCAAAACACACCTATGGCTAAAAAACAACCCACTTGTTAAATGTTTGCTTAGAGTGTATTGTTGATACAAAGAAATTGTCAATTCCATATTGAGCATCAATCTTTTCTTTAATACAGTAATTCATAAACACCAGAATAAAGTGGTTGACTTTAAGGTGTGGAAGTCCAGTGTAGTATTTCACTTTGACGGTGTCTTCCTTCAGGAAATCTTCATCCATTTTTCTCTGGCCAAGCTCACGTTTCAGGGTCCTGTTCTCCTCCAGCAGCCGGTTGATTTCAGCACGCCGGCGGTGTCTGCTCAGCTCCATCCTCAGCTGGTGCTGGTGTCTCCACTATGGATAAAATAAGGACATCTTTTAGCTAAATGTGCATCATGCAGCTGAAAAAGCCACAAAAGCAACATACGGTGTTGAATCTTCTGGCTCTGTAAGGCTTACCGGGTGGAACAAGGTCATCAATAGCTGTCTCATCCTCGCAGGTGTACTGTCAGTCCTTTGCCGTTTTCTCTTTTCCTGTCTCTCATAGCGTGCAGTCTGTGTGGCCTTTATCTCAGTGTGGCCCAAGTGTAGTGATGGTGCCCAATCCGGATGCGAGGTGTACATTTCATTTGCTGGTTTTCCTGGTGACACAATTTAAAATTATTATCCACAGCAGCAGTGTTGAACACATATAGAACCATAATGTTATCAATGATCCTCAATATACACATTATTAAATTGTATTATATGATTACATTACATTACAAGACGGCTGGTAAGCGCTAGGATCAGCAAAATTTATAAGTGGTGCTATGACAGCTGTCAACCTCAGGGTTTTTTTTGAAAATGGAGAGGGATGTCCCTGTCCTTGTAGGAACTGGCAGTGTGTTCTACCATAGAGGATAAAATGCTATATCAACCAACGAGGATGAAAATGCTATATCAACAGTCTCTGGGCGCGCGTTCATGCTTGTATGTGGTGCCACGGATGAAGGAAGGAAACACTGTAGGCTATAAAATAAAACCGTGCATCTTTAACTTACCAGAATGAAAATGCAGGGAACACACTCGCATTGACATCAGGATACTGTGGAAAGTTCTGTTCTGTCGTCTTACAGCCGCGATCCAAGCTAGCCGACGACTCTTTGTTATCTGTGAAACTTGGTCTCCGTGTTTGCGCCTCCAGGCAGGACAGCGGTGGAAAGTTATCCCATTTTGTAGGTTTTTCCCTCGGCGATCATGTGATGCGCTGTTACAGCCCACAATACAGCAACGGTTTACCATGGTTGAAATCAAGTTACGGTGAAATTAAACGAAATAAAACACGGCTGAGAGGGAGAACACAGGCAATAGTCTAAGGAAGCCGTAAAGTGCGCCGTCAACATGGTCACGACGACCAAGCCCTATTGCGAGGTAACGCAAAAGGTTTTGCGAGGGAACGCAAAAGTTTTTGCGAGGGAACGCAAAAGTATTGCGAGGTAACGCAAAAGTATTGCGAGGGAACGCAAAAGAAAAAAAATTCCCCATGTCCCCTAGGGGGCTCCGTACTCTTCCGTACAATTATAATTATATTATTTCCACTAAAAACAAAAAACCCAAACGCGCCACCTAAACACAACGTGTTGCTGTTGGCTTGTGGGAGTTGTAGTCCAGCTCATGGCGAGTCGCGTTCGTCATGTCCAACAAAGAACTACAATATCCAGATCCGTTAACACGGAAACCCTTTACAAAGCACTAGCACGTAGCAACACACCACGGTAGAAGGATGTCTCATGCTGGCAAAAAGAGAAAACTAGATAAAACCCGCCAGGACAGGCTTTATTTTGATAGCTATTCTGATGTGACGATACATGAAGACATGATAGCAGACCACGTCCGGACCAACACCTACCGGACGGCCATATTTAGCAACAGCGAGTCGATTAAGGGGAAAGTTGTGCTGGATGTCGGGGCAGGAACCGGCGTGTTGAGCATCTTCTGCGCTCAGGCTGGTGCTAAGAAAGTGTACGCAGTGGAGGCCTGCTCTATAGCGGAGCAGGCGGTAGAAATAGTGAAGCAGAACAACGTGGAAGAGATCGTGGAGATCATAAGAGGAACAGTGGAGACGGTGGAGCTACCGGAGAAGGTGGACGTGATAGTGAGCGAGTGGATGGGTTATGCACTACTGCACGAGTCTATGCTCAACTCTGTACTGTTCGCCCGCGATAAGTGGCTGAAGCCCGGGGGAGTCATCCTGCCAAGCAGAGCCGAGCTTTTCATCACCCCAATAAGTGACCCAGTAGTGGAGGACCGCCTGTACTTCTGGTACACCGTCAAAGACCGCTACGGCGTCGACATGTCCTCCATGTCCGACTTCGCTCAAAAGTGCATTAAGAACTCAGACATCACGGTAAACACCGTGGCCATGGAGGATGTGCTTTCCCACCCGGCCCGGTTCGCCGAGCTCGACCTGTACTCGGTGACGGTGGAGGAGCTGCGGGCCGTTAAGGGCCGCTTCACGTGCGAGTCGTTCGGCTCAGCTGCTGTGAACGCTTTCTGTGTTTACTTCACGGTCACATTTCCGTGCCCGGAAAAAGCAGAGTCGCTCGTTCTGTCGACTTGCCCTTTCAACCCGGAGACCCACTGGAAGCAGGCGGTGCTGTACCTGGACTCCCCCGTGGAGGTGGTGCAGGACACACCGATAACTGGAGAAGTTAGCATGTTTACCTCTGAGGAGGGTTCCCGACACATATGCATCCATGTAGACTATTCATTTGGAGAGGAAAAAAGACAATCCAAGACTTTTTCTATCCCTGACTGGACATCTGACCCTCAGTCATGATATAAATGTAATACAAACTAATGTACCATTTCACTTATTTCCTCAAACTGTTCCCAAGCCAGGAATAGTTAGTCGATGCCAACCATTTTGAGTTCAATTTTACATAATATGCTCAATTCTGGTTTTCACTCATTTTTTACATAAGTTCTGAGATGTGTTTTTAAACTAATGTGCTAGAAATAAATTTTGATCTTAATGTTTGTTAGATATCCATGCCTATTCTTAACAAAGAGCTAACGGTGATAATGAGAACATACTTGTCACATCTTTCAGTATGCATTTTGTGAATTGTACTAATAAAAATGTTTTTGGATATTCAATTCTAATATACCTTTTTTTCTGTTTCTTTTTGATACATCTACTTTTTAATATTTATTCTGTATATACACAAGTGAAAAGCAACAAAATGTAGTTTACGTCTATCCAGAAGTGCTATACAAGATATAAATATTTATTTACATAGTTTTCAGAAACTGTATGTATGGACTATGAATAGTATGTTTAAACAGAGTAATTGTAAGAGGCTATAAAATAAATATGGAAGTTCCATACAAATAATCCAAGAATGTTAGGATATGGATTATATATATATATATTAGTGGGGTTATAATAAAGGATAAAAAATGACATAATAGCAGAAGATGCACATATATACAGCTATAGTTGAGAAGTATGTGTAAGTGGTTTAGGATCCATAGGTGGTTGTGTAATCATGGACATAGTAAATTATAAAACAGGCATGTATTATTTTTATTTTGCAGACTCATAGTCCACATACAAATAAAGAAGAAAAATTATAAGAATATGACATTACAATATGAAGATTCATGGAGCTCCACAGACGACACATGAACTTGTATATCAGATTTCTCATAAGTGCCTGAAATGTCCTGACACATGCATTACAAAACTTCTCACGTGCACCACTGCACCTGTTTTCTTTTAAGCAGAATTCTTACTCTTTTTTTTTTTTAGCTACCTGAAGCCTCTGCATGCTAGATTTTTAAAAATTGCACCATTAGGAGC